TGTTAAAAAAAAAAAAAAAAAACATGGCTAGTTCACCGTTGGGCGCCATCATGGCCTATAAGGAAAATTGGGTCCTGACAAAAATAATTGAATTCACTATTTAATTAAATAATTTTATTTGAACTAGCTTATTAATTGACCTCTATAAAATACTATTGGTAATGTGATGCTTCAATTGGTTAAAAAATTGACTTTAATAATATAATCAATCTATTATTTACCTTTGATATTTCATTTGACATGTGATTTATTCTATCTTATTATAACTTTTATGAAGGAAAAATAGTATTAACGTTTCATCATATTTTGCATTGTTGAGACAATAAATTTTCCTCAAGTCTTTCACAAATTTAAGAATATTGTGGTATGCATTTTTGTGTTGATCCTTGTTATTTTGACATTTTCCGTTTCAAGTTAAGTGTCAAAAGTTTTCTAATGATGTTAATGCATTTCCAAAATTTTAAAATCATAAAATCTGAAAGTTTTGTTTCTTTTTATCACATTCACATTTACTTTGGTAAGCACATTAAAATATTTTCTAATTCAAGTTAAATTTCGGATCTGGTTAATATTAAGTTGAATGCTTGATTTTCACTATTGCTACTAATTTCTATAAGCATATTTATATTCATATATTTTCCTTTTAAAGTTAAATGGTAAATTTGTTTCTATTTGTGCAAGTAAAGAATTTGATTTAGTTACTGTAAAGGTTTGAAAGTTTTTGGTAAATAACTAATGTTCTATCAATTTATGTTCATAATTGTTAATTATTACATGGTAGATTTAATTAAGTATATTAAACTAGTTACCTCTTTAGCTTAAAATTTTCAGATTCGTTTAATGTTATTGACGTGCAAATCATATTCTAATTATCAAATCAATTTAAATTTTTTACTATAATTTTCAGTATGAAAAAGATTTACTTTCTAGTTTAATATTTGGTCACGAATTCAATTATTATTGTGAATAACTTCTTAACATGCGAATATAAATACCCATGATATTATCATTTTTTGTAAGCCACATTTCTTGATACCAATTGAGCAATAAATTTTATTTTATTCTAGCAATGGAGGAGGAGGAGAAGACTGCAATGGAGGAGGAGGACAAGACTACAGAGAAGAAGACTGCAGGGCGTCAAACAGTTCCTTTGGTAAAACTTGAATGGCCAGAAGATCGCTACGCTACATTCTCCGAGCGTCGCTCGGGGTTATATAAAAAATCAAGTAAAGTGGTTGGAGAATGTGGCATAGATATAGGAATAGCTCTTTTTTCGCTGGCTGGTAATCCATTTTCTTTTTTTCACCCAACGCCTAATCTAATCTTAGATCATGTTAAGAATCCTAACATAGAATTGAGCAAAAGTACAAAATTTGTTGTTGTATATGCACCAAATAATGTAAACCAAACCAACAATAGGATTAATGAGAATGAGACAATAGAAAAGGCTGCAAAAAGTCAAATGTTTTTACTTGAACAATTGAACAAGACTAGACATATAGACTTGTGGGAATGCATTGACCAGTTCAATGCAAATGATATAACTAAATGTGAAGCTTGGTTAAAGGGCATTATCTTTGGATTGGAAAATCGTTTAAAACAATTAGAGAAGAGAGCTTCATCTTCATCACAAGCACTTCTAGATAATGCACATAACTCATCTAGCGCTTCAAATGAATAATTTTCAGATAATATTCGGAACTGTATGAGACCAAAACGTGAAATTTTTAAGTTCTAATGATTAATGTGTGCTTTTAATTCTTTTTCTTTTCTTTTTTCTTTTTTTTTTTCTCTTTTTTTCTTTGTTTCAATGATGGTACGACTACATGTATCCTATGCTTTCTATTAATAAATAAAATATATTTGGTCATTTAATATATGTTGTCACACATATGTTAGGTTTCTTAATATTGTACTATTTAAGTAGTGTAACACCCCACCCTCTTAGCATATGCTTAGATTATATTTGAAGCACATCATGTAAAAATGTTTTTATTTTTTTCTTTTTTTTTGGGGGG